CTGAAAAAATTTTAGATATTATTTTATGTTAATGTAGAAATTAAATCTATCAAATTTTAAAAAATAATAGTATACATATATAATACAAGCTGTTCTATGAAGTAACTTTTTCTACCATGGTAGATCATTTTCCAAACTTAGGTGAGACATAAGATCAATATTTTTGTCTTCATTTATTATTAAATTTATACTAGCATTCACATTTAAAAATACAGTACCGTACGTAGTTGAAACAGGTTTATTTTGTTGCCTTCTTTTATTCTATACTTCTATACTTGTAACATAAGAACTAACCGAATCAAAAACGTTAACAAAATAAATATATTATATAAGACGAAAAGTTGTATTCTAAGGATGAACAATATCTTTTTTTATTATATTTTATGACAGTAATGGAGGAGAAATTTATAAGTTCAAGAAATGCCTTTCAGTTTCTAAATGTCAAATCTATTGAAAAAAATTTGCCATTTTCACAATTATTATCCTACATAAATACAAGTTAAATAGGAATTTTAAACCTTAATTTTTTGTAAAACTTTGTATTATTTATAGAGTATACATAGACACTTGATCTTTTAGAATATAATACTTTTAAAGGTGAAGTTAATTGTGAACAAATTTATATTGAATAAAAAATCGTATATATGAACACAGATTGTTAACAATATGGGCTTCAGCACAAAGATGGTCATAATTGAGTAGTGAAACATGAGTCGTAGTCGTAGGTGTCAACGGACAATGTTTTGGTCAACCCACAACTACGACTTACGTTCCACGATTCAGTTACGGTCATTGTGGAATTAGACAAGGTGCTGTATTCCCGAAGATTCGCAGTAGCACAATAATGGCGTCCCTATTTGCAACTGTGAATGTAACGTTTGACTATTCGATTTTATGGTTTTGAATTTTTACATATTATTATTTAGTTTTTATTAATTTTTAGTTTAGTTTGTTTAGTAATAGTTTTTATATATATGATTATTTTTATTTATTTTTATAAAAGTCGTGCTAGCATTTAGGGACGATTTTTAATTGGCCGTGCCGCCATATTTATGCGCAATACAACACCTTAGGCCTATACTTTTTGGCTGAACTTTTGCACCAGTTCATCTTTCTTCCTCTTCTTTCCTGTTGGAGCGCAAAGTTCAGCCAAAAAGAACAGACCCCTTGTCTCCACCATGGTTACGGTCATCTTTGTGCTTAGGATGCCGTCCCATGAGCGGAAATTTACAGTGGAACGGAACAGCGTGACCAATCACAACTCTGCAGTCATTACTCTGCTTTCTTTTTTGCGATTATGATTGGTCTCGCTGTTCCGTTCCGCTGTAAATTTCCTCTCATGGGACGGCACTCTTAGACCCTTCTCGTCGGTAGTGCAACACTTTTACCAATGCCAGCGCACCAAAACGGATAACGGATGTGGTGCGTATTCGTTCTAATAAAAGCCAATCCTGTCAGTTCCTGTTAGTACGGATATGTATCATATCCATTTTCGACACTACGATTTTATTGATAATTTTGCAACATAGATAGAGGTAAAGTTCCTCAATCCCTGCAGACAACCTTTTTTTTTAAGTATTCGTTTCGCCGACGTGGTTGTTCAAAAGTTGAATGGGGGCGGCAAAAATTTCACTACCCTAGGGATGGCAGAAACATTTATCCGATCCTGCATATTGGACTAAGAAATGGTAAAGATCTCAATGTAAACAATATTTTTTCGTTCTCGACATAAACTCCACCTCACAAATACGTATTAATGCATATGCTTAAATCCTGGAAATTGATTTTTAAATTTATATAAACGATGAAAAAGGTAATTGTTATACAAAAATTATTGCGTTTAATCGGTAATACAGATGACTTTAGAATCCCTAGTGAATAAATTACACAAATTGAAGATTACGTTTTAATCGAAATTGAAAAATTTTTAATTTATTTAGCGATCAACATAAATCACAGAGGACGTATTGGAAAGTTTGAGATTATTGTTTAATAATATTATAAAAAATTAATGTTTGATTTCCTAATAAATCTTTAATGTCTATTTGAACTGCTTTCTTTGTGATTTGTTTCGATTCAAATATACATATGTATGGATACATGTATACCAAGTGAATACTAATACTTTAAAAAATTTTAAAGGGTAATTAATTTCTTACATAAAAAAATTTAAGACGAAAACTTCAAATATGACAATATTGATAATTTTGTATATGTTTAAAGTTTCTTTGAAATAACTCCAGTGATTTTGAAATTTTTTGGAAAAATACGAAATTTTTTCTTTAACTTTGGCACCTCGTATCGTTAAACCGTTTCTAACATATGATCATATGAAGTTTTCGTCTCTAATTTGTATGAGGAATCAGCCCTTAACTTTTAGAGTACTCAGTATTCTGTATGTACACGTTTGCACGCTCCATACATATATATATTTTTTTTTTGTTTGAAGAGATATGTGTGTATGTGTGTCTATCATATTCTGCTCGTATATAAACTTGTAGGGTTATACAATGCAGTTGAGAAAGGAACAGTCAGTTTTCCTGTTTGACCAAACATTATTTTTTTGTCAATAGGCACGAGAATAATGGTAATATAAAAAAAAAAGAATAAATAAAACGCAATACATATACTCTTCTAGATAAAAGATTTGAGATTTGATTTATAAATAGATTTTTTATTTAAATTAAAAATTAAGTTAATTAGATTAAAAGTATAGCAGGTCTGAGAATTTTGTTAAAGTATTATTATTTTGCAATTGAACTTCAAAATGCATGGCACTTTAATTGAAAATTATTACAATCGAAATTCTCTAAAATGGTTTTATTTTACATTAATCGGTTATAATATTTGTCTGTCTTATTATAAAATTACATTTTATTTGAGAAAAGTACGATAAGAATTCCCAATGCTGAATCTTCGAAATAATAAAAGATTGGCTTTTCGACACAAATTTCCAAGTATAAACCCGAAGAATCACGTTGAAACTGCCGGTTATGATCGTCCCTGTATTACATACGATATACCTTCTGTTCGCCTGTCAGTCTCGTGGGCAGAAACGGAGGCCAATTGTTGTTTGTTTGTATTTACTACGAAAGAGCACCCCGGCTGTGCCTAGAGGAGCTGCATCGACGCTATGAAAAGGGGGAGGTTGGGGATTCACTGGCATATCGTATTCTCTATTCTATAGTAGGTATATACAGTGCGTGCGGTTGGGGGGTACGAGACGTTACCAGCCTGGAAATTGAATGTCACTCGGAAAAGAAACGTCACAATATTCCGCGTGTCGGCTGGTGGGAGCTGTTTTGTAGCTTCTCGTCTCGTTTCTCGTTTCGCTTCTCGAAGCTATTGTGCACGCTCCGTCACGCGACAGTTTTTACAACGAAAACAGTAATAGTAATCGAAGACGAAGAATTTAGGAGTCTTTCGAGTAAGTCAATCGAATATTTCAATTTTATTTTCCGCACTCATGATAGCGTGTATCATAACGCGATAAGGTACGAAAATTGCTTGTTAATATTGGAACTATATTATATAAAAATGAATTATAACTTACTATTTAAATGTTAATTTTAAGTAAAAAAATTTTAATTATTAAAATATGTTTATTTAAAATTGTAAAAATGCAGAGTTTTTTGTGATACCATCTCAACTTTTTTTTTCTTTCAATCTTACACGATTAGTAATAATAACTCATTGTTATTTTGAACTCTGAAGAAGTATTATCAGAAAATACATATTGAATCGACTATTTAAGAACTGAACATCATGCGTGACATGTGCAGCAACCTTGTCTAATAATATTGGCGACAGGGTAGATCGGCGTGCATCTCATTGACCGAGAAATCCTTTCGGCATCTGCCAAAGTGGATCGTGATTGGCGTGAACTTTCCGAAAGGGCATGTCCCGTATAAATCCAACGCCCGAATGTTTGACAGAATAATTTTCACGTTAGCGGGGTGCATTATGCGTCTTTATGCTAGCGCCTGACCGTGCGCATTGTCGCCAAAATAAGCCGTATCCCACACGACAGCTCCCTGGTCTTTTATGATCGTTTCGCATGGTATACAGTGGCTCCCCAGAAACCTTGACCGTATAGTAGCTGCGATCCAAAGCTGGAAATTTGTCTTCAACCTATGTGCAGGCCCGCAGCGAAAATCCGGCGGAGTGAGCCAGGGGCGCAGAACTAAAGCATGTGTGAAAGGCTCTTTAAAGCCATGAAAATATAAGAGGTGTAAAATAGAAAGTCATAATTATATATAATATTTTTTGCTAGGTGTACACAAGTTATAATTAATTTTGAAATATGACACTGATTTTTGTTTACAACAGTTAAGCCTCAAGCACATATACGTAAACATACACATACATAAGTTAGAAACACATAGAAAAATATAAGGCAGTAAAATGTAAGCAGTAAACGAATCGCAGTAAAGAACGTAAGATCATTGCTTTACATCTTCTATTGTAATTGATTCTTTTACCGCTTACGTCTTACTGCCTTACGTTTTTCTATAATGTTTCTGGCTGTATTCATTGTACATATATACATAATATGTGCATCTCAGAGAAAAATAAGACGAAAAAGAAAATTAAAATAAATTATACTGAATTAAGTATTAATCTTTAAAGGATGAGGATCTATTTTTAAATTCTTATAGGCTTTTCTTGAGTAAGATTTGTTATAAATTATTACTTCTTATCATAATATGATACTCGTATGATACTGTTTTAGCGTCATTATAGTAGCTTTCCCGTAAAGATTAAAAATAATGAAATAAATTGAGTACATTGATACGAGTGAGTAAATTAGACTACAGAAGATGAGTTGACTATCAGTTACACTGGCTTTGCATTAAACATCTAATTAATTTTTCGAACAACAGATTGATTAATATTTTTTGTGCATAAGATTTTTAATGTTTGTAATTTTATTACGTATAATTTTACTTTTTAATTCTAAATTTAATGCATTAATTTTTTGCTTTCGGTATAGGCTTACTTTTTTCTTCAAATTCACTTTCAATCGTTCTATCCTAATTTTATAAATATAAAAATAATAATTGGTACGAAGGATTACTTGGGGCGGAGCATAATCAAGCGCCGCTTTCAAGAGATACTTGGTGTAAAGAGGGGCGATACGACAACGTCAACTACGAGGAGGCTGCACGATCGGGCCTCTCAGGTCTGTCACTCGACACCAAATCAGACAGAATCTGTCAAAAATCTGTCACCCGGCCCACAATGCAAGCCGGGTTCTCAGTTCGGGATTTTACCCACACGTTGAAATCAGACCGGATAGAAAGGGGACAGGCGGAGGGGGTTCCCCGAAACTCGCGCATCGGTATGTAAGTAGATGGGTCCCTGCCGCCTATATTTGACACCTTTCAGTCTAATAAAATAAAACCGCTCCGCGGTGGAATGTGGTCGCCGCTTCGAGACAGAAGCGTCGTTTCTCGGCTGGAGATGTGGAATGTTCCCCGCGCGGGACAGTCGATCGGGGTTTCTTTCGTCTGCAAGTCGGCGATCGCTGATAAGGGTCTTCCCTTTCGTCATTTCGGATTCGAAACGATAAACCTGGTCCCGTGAGTCAAATCGGTGGCCTCGCGCGTCTCGTGAGACGTGAAAAGTCTTCGAAATTTATTACGAGTCCGCTCCACGCGAAGCACGCTCCGGCACCGATCGATCCACCGCGGATTTTAAAGAGAGACTCGACGAATGACTCGACAAAAAACTCCCGCGGCATTTACATTCGGCTCTAATCCGATAGGCATCGTTCCTCCAGATGTTTCAGATGGCAGGGACTTGTTTGTATTGAGATGCGTGGGGCAGATATATAATCTAGTCAATTTGACACCCTCATCGACGTTCTAATGGGTGCTTTCAACTCCGGACGAGCCAGTTAGATGCAGTTATCTCTTGGCAAATGCGTCCGCTTGTCTGTCGATCGCTGTCTCCGAACAATTTATGTTGTTAAGGATTTATTGATTGAAGCTTTCTTTCTTAGACGCTTTACGGAAATCTCTTTCTAAACATCTCTGTATCAAAATGTTGATATACTGAAAGTTTTACTGGCTTAAGAATTATAATAGTTTGGCAGAACAGATTTCGACAGGATGTCTTACGTACTAATATGTTGTAGAGTATGTAGAGAATATTATTGCGGAGAACGTGTAATCAAACGATATTCCGTACGTTTAAGCACATATATATTATATGTGCATGTGTGTTTTACTGTAATAAAGTCTTGTACGGTCACGGAAAAGAGATAAGGTTTGGAATAAAATATACATGTTTCAAGATTTTAATTCTTCTTTCTCTGGATTAGTTATCAATGCTGTTGGCACCGTATGCAACGACACTTCCATATATTTTTTTGGTGGCATAAATCTGAAAATGATAAAAACATGTGGATAAAGATATAGTAAAGAAAATAAAGATGTAATATAAATGCATAAATTATCAAACGCGATAAAAATACATTCAAAATAAGTTGAGTCCAATAAACGAACTTTAATATTTAATGCAATCATCTGACCAGAGTACGCCTGAACAACAAAATTAAAAAGGATAAATTTTTTTATTATAAGAATCCCAGATAACCAAGCGGATCTCAGTAAAATCGCACAAATCTGTGACTGCTTATAATGCTGGCAACTTGCCGTATATTCTTTTCAATTATTTTAAGTATATCGACATTGAAACACGTTGGCAACGATGTATATGTATTGCCAACAGTTTTTTTTACGGCAAGATAAGATAGTATCAAATAAGTTATCTTGCGTTATCAGTAATATAATCCCAGTTAGAAATGACAATGAAATCGATATCGAATCGACGTCGATTTGACATCGAACGACGTCGAAAACATCAAATCGACGTCGATTTCATTATCATTTCTGATTGGGATGGCATTGTGTGATCCTATAAATTATTATAACAATGTAGCAACAATAGTATGAATTTTGACGATGACGATTTCAAAGTTCTCGGTAAATTACTATTTGAAGTTGTCATATTGTGAATTAATTTGCCAATAAATGCGGATTCAGTAATTGCTACAATTCTGATAGCATCACATAATATCATAATATGAGCAACATGCCAATAGCAATATAGACAAGTTGCTATCTGAAATGTGTTAATATATCTTCTTTCCGTCAATTTTAGAATATAGTATATAGTATGAATAAATAAAATGTATTTGCTTATCAATTTTGATTAAAAAGAATTAGAAGGAAATATTTTTGTTTCTTTTTACTTCAAAACATATTAAATGAAAATTTATACTTCGTAATGAAGTAGGTACTTAAATACAGACCTCGTTATAAACGGTGGGAAGTAATCTCGGTCGATATTCCTTATATCAGCAGCGCCGCAGATGAAGCTGACTATCGTGCCGATCACCATCACGATTAAGGCCCCCAATAGCGTGTAATACATGAAGGATATCCTATACATGAAGAAAGGTTCGTCCACAGATTCGACTTGTATAGGATTCTGCGTTGTTGTGGTTGTACGATTAAATAGACCGGACATATTCACGCAACCCTCCGTGGAGGAAGGAAGCGGTTCGTAGTAGAGACTGCGATTAGCCATATGCCATTGTGCGCCGACGATGATCCAGAGCATCGTCGTCATCGAGACCACTGCGCCGACCACCGCTCCCTTGGCCGTCGCCCAGGGTACCAACATCCCCAACGAGAACAGACCCGTCATGGTACCGGCGGTGATACCGGTCAGAGTCAGAGATAGTTGAAAGATGTCGCCGAGACGGTCCATGACGAATACCATGCCCACGCATAAGGTGCCTAGGATTACCACCGTGGCCTAAGAATGATATAAACCGTTCTGGAATCGCTATTTATAATTCGCGTATTTATAATTTCGGAAATGAAGAGGGAAATGTACATTCCCGAATTGTTTCTATTTTTATTTGTTTAGCGAATCTCTTGCTTAACGATATTGCTTTTCAAAAAACAAAGGAGAAGCCAAGATCGAGTCTCTTATTTTCCTTGCGATTTCGAACCGCAATATATTCCGTCTTTGTACCTTCATAATGTTGGCGGCTTTAGTCTCTTTGTTGCTTTCTGGCATCCAGGGATCGATGAAATCCTCGTAAATCGTGCCGGCGACTGTGTTCAGTCCAGCGCTCATCGTCGAGAGTCCAGCGCTCACCAGACCGGCGAGAAAGAGGCCAGGAAGTCCCGGAACATTCGCGGCTACGTCTAGTACGTAATACGGTAATATCTTGTCGCTCCTTGCTACCACCTAAAAACAAGGTAATTTTCTTCACTACAATTTTCACGAAAGGCGATTCGTTTAATCCTTAATTGCTCAACTTTTTAATCTTACTTTAATTACACGATTTATTGCATTTTTATGATGTGAGTATCGTTGAAGATAAGGTAAAAAAAATTTCAGGAAAGAGTTTAATGATACGATAAATCTAATTAAGAAAGTTTACTTTTTAATAAATTTCGAAGAAATTTTATCATGACTTTCATCTCTTACACTGTTCAAGAGTTAAAAAAGACATCAATTATATTAGAATCTCAGAAAAAATAAAATTTTGAAAAAATATATTGTTAGCCAAGATGTCCGTTCTTTTGAAAAATGAGTAATTTCTTCTTTAAATATTATCTTACATTATCAAGAACAGCGAAGGTACTTGTATAATTTTCAAGTTAAGTAAAATACTTTATTAACCGTCTCTGACTAAATTTAAAATAAAATTACTATCTTTCGGCAACTCAATAGTACAGTCATTTGCTTATATTTTTTTAACTTCAGTTTAGTATACTTATATCGCCTCTGCCATCTTTTTAAGTTTCAAAGCTTCTTTTGGTATCTCACAAGTCTTATTTACGCACTTAGCGTGCAGCTTAGAATACGATAAAGACTAATAAAAAAAACGGAGTCAAAACTTACGTGTACAGCTATAGGATCGCATTTGTGATATCTAGCGTACATTATAAGGCCGGTGAAAACGGAAATCATTTTTACGAATATTAAACCCACAGCCAGGACCCATACCGATCTGCAAAAATGTGTGAAACACATAAAACAATACCATTTATTCTTATTTTTCCCATTCAGATTTCTACTTTTCACGGAACATAGCGTTTATTTATACTCATTTATCTTATTAGTTTATCTTATGTTTTTGATCACTCAGTATCTTATTTTTCAATTACGAGAATATTTGTTTATCGTGTAATATTTTTTACTTAAAATTTTTTATATTATTCGCGACAAAATCCTATCTTTGAGGTTTTCATTTGAAACTATCCAGCGTTTCAGCGATGCCACTTACAACAAATAATTCAAGGAAAGCAAATATTTCATTACAAACTTACTTTTGTGCTTCCTCAATAGTAGGTACTGCAAGAAATCTTTGCATAGAAACCTGGCTGATGCCCAACGATGCCAGCCATGCCATTACCATTCCCACTGACATGCCCCAAAATGAATTTCTGGTGAAAGGACTGGGATCCATGCTGTATGAAAGAGAATTGAAAATATTAGCCAGTTGGGATAAAAAAAATATCAATAGAATATTAATTTATAGTTAATATGACAATATTAGATTGAAAATTAGTTTTAATTACAGTAAAAAATATACCGCGATATTAACGTTTTAACAATAAGTTATATAATTAAAATCATAATTGCATTCTGGGCACATTATAATTATATTTTGTAAACTTTACTGCAGCAAGCATTAAGCAAACATATTATATACTCCTGCTATATGTCAGTGCATTACTATAAAAATCTAATGTAGGAGAACGCGATGGCAAAACAATTGTAAGAAAAACTAACGTGCGTTAAAATCCAACGCTTATGAGTAAAATTTTAAATTTGACACTGCGTTTTAAATTTGATACCTAAGAGATTGAAAAATACAATTTAATATCTACGAAAATGGAAACGAACGCGTTAGAAGTAACGCGAGTTGCTGACTTTCCGAGATCAGTTTGCATTCGACAAATCTGGTTTGAATACAGATTCTTGATGCAATACGCGAATTCACACGTAATGTTCCTTGACTTATGTTCAGTTTTAATTAACGAATGATGTGACTTTCTCTCTCTCTCTCTCTCTCTCTCTCTCATTAATAAATTATAACATAAAAAATACACCTGTTCTCTTACTTCCAAAATACAATTCTACCACCCTTTTCGGCTATCCTCCAGGTCTCGCTAACGCCGCCTACGGCAATTGTTCCCAATATCAAAACAGCAATGAGACTTCCGACAGTTACCGTCATCTGAATCGTATCCGCCCATACGACAGCCTTCAGACCTCCCTGTATAAGACATACATTTTTTTTTCAAAGAGAGCTTACTCGCACACAATAAAGGTATCAGTGTCAGTCACGACACGACGTGCACAGAATCAAACGATCGGGGAGTCGGTGAAACGTAAACCCAGGGGAGAGATCGTAACACAATTGCATAATAATGTTACACTGCAATACTACGATATATGTATTTTATAAATCGTTTTCGACATGAATTTCATCGTATATCAAAAGACCCACGCATCCCGTACAGTAATATTTTAATAATAATATCGATTTTACAGTAGTTGCATAGTTAGTAAATTGTATAAACAGTAACATAATTATTCAAACTGTCTGCACAGAAAGAACAGTTACAAAAGTATCTAGAATTTTAGTTTAAGATAGATATGAAAATTCTCGGATCATCAAAATAATATTTTTTTTTGCCATTTGTCTTGTTATATTGCGTTAATACGAGCTTGATTTTCAATCAAACAATATAATAAGACAAATAGCAAAAAAATGAAATGTTATTTTGATAATTTAACAAAATTATTTAAATATTTAGCCAACATTTTAGATAGTTTAGCAAACTGTTTTTTTTATTTATATGTATATTGATCAAAATAATTATATAGAATACTCGAGCATGTGTGTGATGATAATATTGCAAAAAGCATTGACATTCTAACAACAGTTTAATAAATGTCTTACACAATTATTTTTAGAACTGTGTATCTATGTGTAATAATTTTTAGATACTTCAATAAAACCGTGTAAGCTTGTGTATTGTATGAAAAAGAATAATCGTCAGCAAATGTTGATGTTATCGCGTATAATAAGCTTACAAGAAGTTTACTCTTCTTTATCGCGAATCTTCAAAAGATATTGGAATTATCTCTTCAAAGCAGAGCGATGCACAACCTATGCACTTTTCGCACGCATATTATTATCCAGCGTACTATTATTCAAACAAGTGCAAGACGAAGACAAATAGCTGTCAATTTCGTCATTGTTTTTGTATACTTTATTCAAGTGGCGTGGCAAAGTAGTCGTTACTTTATTGGTGCGATACTGCATCGTAAATAAACCAGTAACCTGCGAAACTGATAAGATCGTATTGAGCAAATTCAGGTAATTCCACTCTAAATAATTGTTTATTTGATAGTCGTCGCAGCGGAACATTTCATTTAATTAGATTGTGATATTCTCCGATAACGTCACGGCTGCAAGATGACGCGTATGAAAACTCTCATCCCGGTTTCATGACCTTCTAATTATCTAGACGTGAGCTTTTTACGACCTTAGAAAATCCTCTGTTTTAATATGTGTGCAAATGTTAATAGATGGTAACCAGGGTTGGAAGGCAACTCATAACGAAGTTATATACAGTTAACTACTTTTTTTCAATAATTGTAATTTTTTTCAATAATTGTTAACTTCGTTCCTTTTGTTCCATCTGACTGTAACTTAACTTAGTTACATTTTTTTGGTAATTAATAACTAATTTAATAGTTACTTCTATAGTTACTTTATATACTTATTCGTCAGCATATAGACTGACCGAAATGAATCAGTGAACGATCAGTGATTGTATTTTGTGGTTGCAATTTGCAATATATCTTTATCTCTGATCATTCTATAAATATCTGTATCTCTAGTACATGAATTTATCGTTTTGATTTCAACTGTATAGTAATTTTTTATAAATTAATATGGCGTATAATATATCAAATGTTTGGTATAATAAAGAAAATAATTTAACAATGTTAGCAGTTCTTATATTTAAAATAGCAATGCAAAAATTAACAGAAAAATAATTGAAAAGTAACTTTCAGCCTTGTTACCTTTTAAGTAACTGTAATTTAACGTGTACTTTTCAGGATCGGTAACTTATAACAATAACTAATTACTTTTTGGAATAAAAAACTGTAACTGTAACTACTTTTAGAAAGTAGCTTTCTCAATCCTGACGATAACAATGTCTAACATTCTTCGTTTGAATACACGCGAATGTCTATGTTTATTGAACATCATAAGAATGTTTCAAGAAACACAAATCTACAAAAATATTGAACGCTTTCACTCTCAAAACATTCAAAAAGTAATACACAGAGTTCATATGATCTTCAATAGACCAATAAACGTTCATCACGATATGTCGCAAGTTTTAATAACAATTATAATTGAAAAGTCTGTATCACTTACGATAGTTGTGTAGAAGATGCACACCATACATATCACTGGTGCAACGTAATGCAGATTCATCCCGGTCGCTTGCGAAAAGGCTAATGCCGGCACGTAGATTATCAACGGTACATAGATCACCAGCGCAAGGGTGTAGAGAAAGGACGCTAATTGTCGGACCGGCCTGGCAAATCTAATTTCCAGATACTCGAAAGTGCTCGTCAACTGTAGCTTGTAAAATACCGGTAGGTATACGCGTACGATTATGAAACAGCTTATGAAGGATGTGAAAATGCATGCCGCGTACTGAGTTCCGTACTGATACACTTCGGAGGGAACACCAAGCAAAGACACTCCCGATATGTGACTGAAATGGATTTTATCTTCATTAGAAATAGATCTTTTTCTTGATATTATTAACAATTAAATATCATAGAAATTGTCCTAACATATGTTTCAATTTATTTAAGGAGGTTGTAAGGCAAATGCAATATGTTAAGAACTACTTGAAAAAATTACAGACTATTCTAAATTTCATTTAATAACAAAAAAAAATAGAAACAATTGACCATCTGGATCAAAAGTTATTTAAATAAGTAGTATTTTTTAAATTTGTACTCTAATATAAATATATGAAAATGTATTATAAAATAATGATAAAAAATCTCAATTTTTTAAATATAAATACTCTAGAAATTCAACAATATTTTTGTAAAGTTATCTTGAGATGCAGACATTAATTGTTCAGTAAATAAATAAAATTTGTTATTTGTTATAAACTAATGGTGAATCTCAATGAAACTTTGCATAAGTTATGTTTAGTACTTAATATATTTATATAAAAACATTTAGATTTTTCTTATTATTTTAACAATTTTTGTTTATAACAATAAAACTAATAACAAATAAAATAAATAATCTATAAAAATGTGTTGCTCAATAAAACCAAAATGTTATGAACACAACTTTCAAATGTATGTAGTTTGTTTAAAGCGAAAATATTAATATATGTGTTTTGTGCCCTTACAACCTCCTTAAATACAATTTGTTACCAATTTGAAATTAATTTTTCGTCGGCAAAATTTTTAATATAAAAATATATCCAAATAATTTGTAAATGATTAGTTAAAAGTGGAGGGATTTTTTGCGAGTTAAACTTCCATTAATAAATAATAAAATCTAATTCTTAATTTAATCAATTTTAATTCAATTTTAACAGACTATTAACATGAAGCTTGACTAGAAAAAATTGTAGCCAAATATTCTTAGTTAAGACTTTTTTAATTTTAACTCGTTATTTTCTCTTATCTAATATATTTCAGCCTTCCCTAAATATATTTATTTTAGTTTTTTAGGTAAAATCGTCAGAAAGCAAAAACAACATAAAGACATTTAGGCACGCCTTACATTCTGCGTTTTTGAGAAATATTTTTATGCATATTTTTTTATTTATATTAAGAATTAATTCTAAAATAAACCAAAAAATTATGCAGTTGAAAACATATTTGATGATTTTTCTAAACGTTTTATAAATTTGTAAAGGTTTTGAATACCTAATTTAACTCAAAGTGTTTTTATACACGATGCGAATTTTATGTAAGAAAACTAAACTCAAGAAATAAAAATTATCGAGAACAACGATAAGAGAAATGTGTGAAACATTTTTTAAATCACCTTGCCATCAGACTCATACTAATCGGAAGAAAGGACATGGATTTGCCGCCGAGTAGATACTCGGTGGTGTTATTCTGCTTTGTGCTGAAGAAACCGAAGTAGATGCCGATGAGCATGCTGATGCCCAGCAGACCGGCAAAGAGAGTATAATCGGTCCATCCGAAAGTAAGTTCCTTCAACTCCTGGCCCACGAAAAACGGTTCTGTGCCATTGACGGTCATTCTGAATTCATTAGTTCAAAAGATCCGCGGTTATTAACTATTTTAGAGAATATCCGCGTTTCAAGATTATATAGTTAGAAGGAATAATCGCTAGATTATCTCACATATGAAGTTTTATATAGAAAAACTACAAAGTTAAAGGTTGAAATTATGTATTGATTTCCTGTTACATATGTGCATTCTGACTTAAACTGAGTTGTTAGACTGGAAATATTCCCAATAGTTTATATTTTAATAATACTATTATTAAAAATTTCTTAATTCACTTTTCAATTTAAATAAATTATCCCATTATTTTGCATTCAAATGGAAATATAAACTTAAGGTCTGTTCTTTTTAGATGAACTTCTTGTATGTGTGTACACAATTTATCTTTACTCTTTTTCTTTGCAATGTGAAAAGAAAAAGAGGAAAGATGAACCTTGCAAGAAGTTCAGTTAAAAAGAACAGGTTTTTAGACAATCCTATTCAAAATTCTGTCTAAATTTTTTGCGGATGCTATTATCAATTATAAATTATACGTACATATCGATTATTTCCTTCACACTGTACAGCGATCTGAATTCTGCATTAGTGTCTAGATTATTGCACTGCGCCGGGAATAAGGTGATTCAATTCCGAAAAATCGTTTACGCATCCACGATCTAATCATGTATATATTGAATAATAAAATTTCGCTGTAATTTGGAAAAGTACCGGACGAAATCTGTATACCCACTGCAATGATGATGTGCAATGAGAAACCTATATGTTGGGCCGACATTCAGCGTGGTGTTAGTCTGATTTATGGCACTGTAGATAAAACGCTACTTGACAAATAGACGAGAATCCTTAAATAGGCGTCTGTATGTTGCACTCTACGCCAAAATTAATTTCATCGCCGACATCGCCAATTGCTTGTTTGCCAAAAATTTGTAGACTGATCGTATATCCTTCGCGATAACACAGTGATGTAACCCATAGAACGATCGCATATATAATTGCTATTGAACATGAGATACCGAAGTAGAAACATAATTTATTAGAAATAATATTAATTTGTATAATAGTTACACAGTAATATCAATTTGTGTAATAGTTATTAGATGCATTTCGATACATATAAATATTTGTTGATTTATTTTTATAAATCAATAAAATTATAATTAAATAATTTTTTAAAATGTAAATATTAAAAGAAAAAAAGAATAATGATTTAACACATGTACCAGAATATGCATGTTTTATTATACATTTTTGTCTATACAGGGCGATTCTTAAAATACATATATTGTTATATAAGAATCACGCTGTACACATAATTATATTTGCTTACTATATACTAATGTACGCCATACAACAACCATTCAGTTAACTGTTGCATCTTTTGCTGTTTCTCATTTACATTACACTCGCCTAATAATTTCTCTAAGACTTGTGTTTCATCAGATTCGAAGTCCTTCATGGGATTCAGAGAAGTGATCGTCATGCTCGGCAGAGTAACATCGTAATAAAGACAAATCTGGGAGAAAATATAATTACCATTGTCATAATCATGAATGATATTAATTAATTCACATATATAGACTTATATACAAATGAAAACCTTGTTGTTGAAAGTATTGTACACCAGACTAGGACTAGACGTTCCCGGAATCACGCTGTAATTTCCCGTGCAAAAAGCTCTGACTGGTTCCTCAAATTGAAAGCGTACACTATGTCGTTGCTGATCCAAGATATAGGTCTGACCATCCCAGGCACAAGCTATTATCTCGTCGGAATTATCGCCTGTGACATCCAGTCGACATAGAGCGAATATCTGATGATCTACCTGCATAGCCCTGTAAGAAAAGAACAATGCGATATATTCGTAATTATTCAGATGTATCTAAATATCGCTACGAAGGATTGCTTACCATAAAATAATCTCATCCTGTACTAACATAATAGTTCCATCAAGCGTTGCTAAGGCATAAGGTTTTCCCTTCGGAGCACTTTCACTGATGACTTTATTGTTTGAATCTGTATCATCTTTTGTGATTTCTTTTTCTTGATTCAATTTACTGATATTGTTGCTATTATTATTATTACTATTATTTTCATTCTTATTGTTGGAAAAATTTGTAAAAGATGGTAATAATGTTTCTTTCATAGTTTTATTATTATATTCTCCGAGAATATCATTGCCACCGATAAAGTTGCCATCCATTTCATCAGTGCTTGAAGACTCAACGGGATTATAAAATCTAACTGAGCCTTGATTTTCTGTTGTAAAATCTTTACCATACTCGCCAGCCATATCCAGGCTATTTTTTCGAAACGCTGGCTGTGAGTTGTTTCTTTTGAACTCGAGCGATGCAGGTTTGAAGGTTTTTCTGTCTAATTGGCTATCATCTGTAAAATTGTGCTTTGGCAACTTATCTTTAGGTACGTAACTAGACATTTTAGATTCAATAGTGGAAATAAATGGCGTTATTCCTGGTTCTAAATCTCCAATAATCTCCGTCGAAATATTTTGATTGCGCATCCTAGATATTCCTAATGTCTGATAATCTACAGCTTCGCATGAACTTTTCTTTGATTGACAATCTTCAGGATTGCACTTAATTCGCATGAATGTGCCACCAGGTTGTGCAACCAGTAGAGTTGGCGTACCATCACCAGTATGCTAAAAATTTTTATCTATTTACATAACAATTCATATTATATGATAAATAATATATAATTTCATTTTTTATAACATAGAATAGGTTCGTATAAAGTTACAAGAGAAAATAGAAATATGCAAATGAGATAATTAAGCTTCAGCATAACAACTGTTATAAATGTCTAACCAGATAACAATATAACAATATGGAAAAATACAAATAATAATTATACAATAAAATAATGGAGTCTATATTTTAATAAAATGGAATAGAACTTTATTACTTTAGCTTACAACTGTCAAGAAGGGACTTTATTTCAATATTACATACTTGTAACGTAACCGTTCCTATTTGATTAGTGCACTCCCACTTATTTAGGCCAACTAATTTTCCTGTTTCCAAGTCAGCATTACTTGACCATCTGTAAGATCTCACGACACGATCCGTCAGACCAAGAATCATCTCATTAGCACCATCTTTGTCGACGTCAGCTATCAGTACTATTTTTGTATTAGTTGGGATTCTTTGTACATGTACACATTCCATTTTCCCAGAGAGTTCATTAATTTCATTAGTATTGTCAATATGCTCTGTACTTTGAGAATTTCCTGTATCTGCACATACATATTTTATGAGAATTCCCTAAATCTTCTGTTATTTCATAAAGTATATCTTTCTAAAAGACCTACTTTCTTACTCTATCTTTCAGACTTACCAGTACTTGTTTTGAAATTGTCTTGCTCGTTTGTATCTTTACTGATATGTTGACCTGTAAGTATGTTAGAGTTGTTAGGATTAACAGATCTGGGACTGTAAAATATATGTGTCCATCCATCACCGCAGATAACAACTAGTGCATTACGTCCGTAATTAAAAATATCTCCAATTGCTACGCTAGTTATAAGACCAAGGCCAGTGATTTTCTGCCATAATTCTGATCCCTATTATATAAGAGCAAATATTAATAGTTTTGAAAGGTATAATTTTAAGTAATCATTAATATATTTACCTTGAAGATATAAAGTTCTCCTTCAGCAGTACCAACAACTAATTCATTATCACCATCGTTATCAACATCTCCTATGGTTAAGCCATGTCTGTGCATAATAATTTCTATTGTAACTATTTTTATTATAAGCTAAAGTAGCAATGATTACTCTCTAAATTCTTGGAGTGGAATCTCACTTTAAGAGTAAAAATTAAGCTAACCTAAAAAAATTATTCAATTTTCAATCTTTAAGGGTGAGATTTCACTCTTCAGAATGAGATTTATTCTAAAAATTTTAGAGGGTAAACTTTTACCTGAAAACAGTACCAGGTAATTCCCACTGCAATCTCTTTACAAAACTAACAGCTCTCATGATTGGATTTTGTAGAATGTAACTGTTGCCATCGATTTGGCGGCCAAACTATATGAGTAGCTTTTGCTGTTACCAGACCTAAAGATATTGGCCCAAAGGTATTAGAGTCCATAGAATGTCCAACATGATCTCCTTCCAACCAGCAGTGTCCTTCTGGTACCTGTATTCGTATGAAAATTAGTTTACAAATATTTAAAGGATAACAATACTAAGTTAGTATTGTTGTCAGTAATTTGTTAGAGTCCAAGCACTGTTATTCATTGTTATATATCCAATAATTACTTCTACATATCATATCCGTACTTGGACGGTACAGAGCTTGTATCCATGCGTGCCTATAATATCGCCAGCAAGTCCCACAACTCTCTTGATAAGGGTTTGATTTGGCACCTTGGGAGATACAACGCACACTATGTCGCCACGCTGTATATCTTGATTCCGGATGGTCCAGCGATTCAGAAACACGTAATCAGAGTACCGTAAGTCTGGATTTAGTGCAGGTTGCATGGAGATTCCTTCCACTCTCGCGACATATCCGACTGTGTCGCAGAAAGCAATCCCGATCGGGATGCCGATTAAGACATTACGAAACAAACGTGGGATTCTCATCAAACCTTTGAAGGGAAGAACATGCGAAGTGCTCTTCTGTTTTTAATGCGGTCCGGCAGTGTGAGGGATAGAGCATCACTTACGTTGTTTATAAAACTGATCTGTTTTTAAATATTTCAAGCGTCAGCATAAGTATCACATAACATTTGGCATAATATGAAGAAATCTTTTTTATAGGTTATATGTACAAAATTTCTCGATGTTACAGCTAATCTTGTATTTTGTTAAAAGGACATTTTAGAATTTAAACAAATATTTTACGTGTGCGTGGGATTGTTTTTTTTTTCTATTAAATTAGAAGTAAAATGAGAAGAAAAATAAAACAGGTGAAATTTTTGAATGCATGTGTGTCACTCTTTTGCTGTGAAATTCGTGGCAGTCATGACGTCACGAATGGAGCAGCCATGGGACTCAAAAGTCAAAACCACCTAACCTGACAGAATCAAATCAAGCGTAAAATAAAAGGAGATCTTTGAGCATAAAATTCGTAATTTAATATTTAATCTACGTAATCTAATTTATAAGTGAATATATATGATTTAGAAAATATAAAAATATATTCGATTTATATATCTTAATTATAGATGACTTGATATAATCTTTATATATATTCTCTTTCTTGGCAAAAGTATTGCATAATAATTATCATGTAAAATTAAAATGCAGTAAAATTTCTACATTTATGCGATGCTTAAAAAAAAAACTTATTTTATTCTTCCTTTTTTTAAGCAAAATTAGCATTTCAACTTTTTTAAATCTTTTTTGTAGGATTATCAAAATTTCCATATACTATCTAGGTATAGTACCACATTTATTTTGCGAAACTGTTTCCATATGACTAAAATAGATATTGGTGCGTTAATGATAGTCAGATGTCCACTCTAAGGCTTCTCTCTAACAGAAGTTTAAAAAAAGACGCATCCCATTTTATTATATATTTTCTTTCTAATTTTAATCTTTCTACATTTTTTTCTCTCTCTTTCATATATCGGCAGTTTTGCATGACAGAAATATGAAACTTTTATTGCACATGTGATAAAACATAATAACATTTTACATGCAAATAGCAATGATACAATAAGATTTTTAAATATATTTTAAGCTTATGTATTCATTTTTTAATAACAATATTTAATCACTACATAAAGATGATTAATAGCACTTGTATTTAACGGCTGTCTTTACTATATGAACAAATATCTCTAATTTTTAATAAAAATCAGTAATGACTATGTTATTTAAGTTATGTAATAGTTTATTTGCACTCAAAATAGTTCATATGGATTGTTTTATCACTAAAATTTACCTACATAGCGTTTTCTAATAATAAATATAAATATTATTAGTCTCATCATCTCATTGCATATAAATACTTCCACTTACAAGAGAGCTTATTAGGATATATAAGCCAAATGGGACCTAATTAGGCTACGGTGTACTTGATGCTACAAATGCTTCGAAACATTTTTTGATTAGTCAATTAATAAAATTCTTTCTTCCGATTGGTCAATCAAACGCTTCGAATCATTTGTAGTGTCAAGTGGACCGCACCCTAAGTATGAACAGATGTTGCTGAATAATGTTGAATTCAAAAATATGTGATAAGTTTATATATGAAAGACTGAAGAATATTAAAGGATATCCTGCTTTGTTTAATTAAGTCATTTTAACATTGTTCATGCTTTTAACATATAATATTATTACGAAAACAGTAACATTTTCATGCAATATAAAATATAGTTTATAACATCAAGAATGTTGTTGATATTACATATATATCTGCCTATAATATTGATGAATTCTATACCTTTATATGGTTTATAATAAATTTGCATATTTTTTTATTCAATCATTTATATGTCTTCTCTTTTTACTATTTTGCTGTATTGATTTTTATATAAAAGCATTTAAAGATAATAAAATTCTAAGCTTATATATCTGATACTATAAATTATTTAAGAATAGAAATTTTATCCTGCTTTTAAAAAACTGTTTTTATAAATTATTATTAGTGCTCATGTACCATAAAATATATTTGAAATTGATTTTTAATAATAAAATAAATTTTCTATATATATATATATATATACTTTAAAGAAATATATTTTAATTTGTATTTACAAACTAAAATCAGAAACGTAAAAATGACAAAGCATTCTATGTTTCACAATACATACAGAAATTAGAAAGCATTTATTATCGAATTTAATGTAAAAATTAAAAATAAGACACTAAAATCCTACAATATAAAATTAAACGTTCATAAAACAATGATTAGTATATGAAGGCAAAATAGAGTGAACTCTATCTGTATCGTACAAAAAAAGATTTTTGGCTTTTATGAAAGTTGTATCAGTGCTTGCCAATCACCGAATTTGACATATATATTATATACTACAATTGGACAGATTCATAACTCTTTCTGTTATTTTTATCTACTGGGCATTCTTAAAACAGATATCGTAAATTTCTAACTGCAAGTAACAGGGTTGGGTAAGTTAATTTTTTCTTTTAACTAAGTTAAAGTTAATAACCTTGAAAATTTAATTTAAGATACAAGTTAATGTATAATGAAATTAATTGAATTAAAAGTTAAGTTAATAAAAAAAAGTAATTGAAAAATTAAAAATTAAATTTCTTTCTATTTTATGATTTCAGAGTCTTA